TTATTTTCTCTCATTTTTTTTACTTATTTTCCGTAAGAGATGTCACATATATTATAGATTTACACGATCTATAATCTACGATCTTTTCATGATGGCTGTTTGGGATATCCTTATGCATGCCCTACATGATATTATTTTTAAGCCATTTTCATCCTATGGCTATACTGCGGGATATTCTCCAGTACATGTTAGAGATTAGGTTAGTGAGCGGTAGTAACTATCTAAATACACAGTTTCACAGTATATTGCAGTACGTACGAATGTTCGGAGAATATCTCGAATATACTTGTATGATATCCCGTGGAACGTTCTCAGAATAGACGAGTGCTATTAGGGTATATATAGAACACGATACAATTTTTCATATTAATTAACGTATTAATTAATGAGATGTAGTAAATTATTACAAATACTGTGATGAAACTTCATTAATTTACTGAATTACACTGTAAAAAAATAGAAAAATAGAACGTTGTAAACTTAAGAATCAATCATAAGTAAGGATCCTCAAGAACGTGAAGTAGAGTTTAGACATTAGCTATGATTGGTCAATTTTGTCGATTCGCTTAAATTTTATTTCTCTTCTATGCGACATAGCCTTTACATAAAACTTCATATTCTCTGGGTGCGTTCCTTTATTCACTCCGAGTGCTCATGCTATGACGTAATGGAAGTGTACTGAGGAATTATCGTTCCGTTTTAGTTTCATGCGCTTTTTAACTGTTTCAAGATTATAAAGGAACGCAGTGGCAATATGTTTTTTGAAGCTGAATTGAAATAATGGCTGGCATATCTAATATTTAAAAAAATATAATTTTATTATATGTATTAAATATAATATATATAAAATAATTAATAATAATAAAAAATAAATAATAAATAAAAATTAATAATAATAATAATAATAATAAATAATTTCATAATATTATATAATATTATAATAATTTCATTTTATTATATTATTTCATATTATACACTTTATTTTCTTCAGCATTAATCAAAGTTATTTCAAACCATAATTTCAAAAGTTTTTACCTGGAAACAGCCATCTTTGTACTCTGACTGCTTTACCTCGCTGATTGCAGTAGCCGCAACAGGAAGTACGTCAATCAATGACGTCATAGAATTCAAGGCAATACTTTCGTAGTGCACTGCTTTCTATGGGTACATTTAGCGACACAAGTCGACGCAAGATAGTCTTCTATCTTTCTTGGCTTTTAATGATTAACAAGGACAAAATGATATTGTCGACTTGTGTCACTAAATGGAAAGCATATCCTATATCAGAATGCTATTCGTAGTACTGATAGTACTCGGAGTGAATAAAGGAACGCACCATCTGTCTTGTTACTTTTGATTCCATAAGGGAGGATTTGTACGGAGTAGATAGTGAAGTGTAATACGACGGAATTTTATTGTCGTGAAATTGTTAAATTAGTCTGGTATAATCTAATTTAGGACATGACATAGTGATCGGTGCTCGCAGATAAAACACGAGGAGTTTTTATTTAAAAATGGTAAGTGCACGAGCGCTTCGTTACGTGTGAAATAAGTTGGGAGGGATAACCTTATCGAATTCAAAGAATGAAATGTTGTATGAAAAGGAAACTCAGAAGTAAGCTCGAAACGCAGCTTCGAACATATCTGCAACATATTTTCCAAGCTTAATTCGTTTGCGAGAGAAATTTTGTGACGTTCGCGTGTGATGGGGAAAGAAAAAGTTGTCATATGGTATCTCGAATATATTGTACTGTGTTTTATTTATTTGTTCGTTTTATATTTATTTTGAAGAGTTGTTAATAAAAATAATTTCACTTTGACAGCATATCAATTTAGCATATGTTCGATGTATATTTGACTTTTTAACAAATTTCTTCTTTTTTTTTCCTTTTTGAACAAGAAGATGCAAATCACAGAGATAATATCCATTTCTACTAATGTATAGTAATTTAAATTTCGATTTAATTTATTTGTATCTTTCTTTAGTTTTTTAAAAATTAAAAATAAAGTAATTTAAAAGTAAATTAAACCAAGATTAAAATTAATCTATATTGGTAGAAATTAATATTAAAGAAAAAACTGATATTTTTTATAGTAAACTTATTACATAAACTTTATTATGTAGACAATGTATGATACACTTGTATAATCTATAATGGATGAAGTATCTGCAATTCTGCTGTATCATAAATATGTTATTCTAATTATATCATGTAGCATCCACTTGGAGAATTAAAGAAGGATTATAGCAGAGCCAATGGAATTGTATATTAATGTGCCTGCAAATAGAATATTTAGTATCTTGCATGGCACTAGAACTCTCAATTTCTCTTGCGTATAGTCTTTATAACGAATCTTTGTATTTACCTTTCGAAATAATATTTTATATTGTGCAAAATTAGATTATCATGATGCCATGGAGAAGTTTCCACTGAAAGGTACAGCATCCTTGAATTCAGCAATCCTTCATTCGAATGCAAATGCAGTTACAACATATCATTCAGTTGATGCAAAGGTATGTTGTTCCAATCTGCGTCTTCTTGCTTTATAATATAATTATCAACTTGTTTTTGTGTAAAAATATCTTATTTTTATTTTATTTATCAAATAATCTTGCATTTTACAATATGTTAAAATTTTTATAAATTTTAAATTTTATAAAATTATGTATTTTATTTTCATCATAAATTTTATTTAATGTATCCTTATTTTGTACTCTAAAATTATTATTAATGTTTAAACTATAGATAAACTATAAAAATAAAGGGTAATGTTGCTAAAAACAGACAGAATTTATGATAAATTTTGTATGATAAATTTCATATTTTCAGAATATAAAGTATGGTGATATTACTAATACAGAAGATGTACGACTACGAACTGGAACTATAAGACGCGAAACAAATTTAAGTAGCGACGACGACATGCTGGATATCAATTATCACACATCTCATTCAGATAATAACGTGTTATCGGATTGCGTCCGCATCGATGATGCATCTTCCCATAGTAAGCTATTTAAGTTTTTTCAATTGATTTCATACACGCATTGTTCAATTCCGGAATATTATGTAAAATTTTTATTTATTTTTAGCAAGCATTATAAAGAAGTATAGAAGAAATTTTACAAAGCTAGGAATAAATCCATTTGCGTAACTTTGTTATGGAGTTTAATAGTATTGCACCTATTATTGGTTTAATCTATACTCTAATATGAACTATCATCATATTATCTCTTCCTGCTGAAGAAATTTGAGGGACATCTGTTGATCTATCTGTTGATCTGTTCATCTTATCCATTGATCTACTCATCTGATCTGAAGTTTAACCTGAGTGATATCAGTTAAACAATTGAACCAATTTTCTTTGCACTCGCGGCATGTCATAGTGACAAAATGTGTAAGTTAACAGAAACAATTGCAAACTTAATTAATTAATAAAAAAGTAAAAATATGGGTGCAATTATCAAATTATGACAATGGATAAATAGATATGCTCGTTTTGAATTATTTAATTGGATAAGATTTCTAAATTAATAAAGTATTTATCAAGTTATTACTTATTAAGAATGGACCAGTTTTACAAGTATAAATTTATTATGACTTCTTTGTCCCTTCAGCAGAATATAATAATATTTTTATGGATTCTTCCCAATTATGGTTAAAATAAAATATATTTTTAATTATAAAAAAATTTTCCATAATTAAACTTATTCAATTTCAAAAATATTTATTTCATCATCAGAATTTCAAAAATAGCTTTTACTTTTTTAAAATATCCCATAATTTATTGCAATGTGAAAAAAAGATAAGTAGTTAGTATATTTCCAAATTGTAATGTTGAAATTTACTTTATCATATCTATAACGGAATGATTAATTCGTGCGTGCGTGTGTGTATGTATAAATAAGTAGGTAAGATAAAATAGATAAAGAAGAATGAATACTAGACTAAACTAAAATGTTTTTTTTCTTTTCGTTCTATTTTAAAATCTTATTTTAATTATATCTGTTATATATATTGAATTTTGAATAAGTTGAAGGTCAATAAGAAAGAAAAAGATACATTATTCATATTGAAAAAATGTGTTTATAATTATTTTACATTAACACAATCTAAGATATTTGTTTTATATATATAATGTATATATGTATATATAAAATTTTAAATATATTAAAGTGTATCTCTTAAAAGTTATATCAAATATTACAAAATATTCTGTTATTATGAAATTTTGTACTTTATTTTATAAGTTTCAGTTGACTCTGATGACATCCCTGGGATCGGACAATATGACGATTTTCATACCATCGATTGGCAACGAGATATCGCGCGAGATCGGATGCGACATCGTTATATTGTGAAGAAAAAGCATGATTCTATCTGGGGTTTGATAAAAGGAGCTCATGATGCATGGTCTGGATGGCTGTGCGTTTTGCTAGTCGGGCTTTTTACGGGAGTGGCGGCTGGTGTTATAGATATTGGCGCTTCCTGGATGACGGATCTCAAATTTGGTATCTGTCCACAAGCTTTTTGGCTAAATAAAGAACAATGTTGCTGGAGTTATAATGAGACTACATTCGATGGTGGAAACTGTTCGCAGGTAAATACACGATATTTTTTTAATTGTAGCTACAAATTAGTTCTGATAACTATTGAATTCTTTCCTTAATTTAATTAATATTTATTAATTATATTTATAATATTTTGTTATTTACAGTGGTGGACATGGCCCGAAGTATTTAATCAGTCAAAAGAGGGTGCAGGGCCTTATACAATTTCATATTTATTTTATACAGCATGGGCGCTCCTGTTTGCAGCACTTTCTGCGTCTTTAGTGCGAATGTTTGCTCCCTATGCTTGTGGCTCTGGAATACCTGAAGTAAATTTATTATCTTTTTTTAGAATAAATATAGGGTCCCATAGCACTGTTCTCATCATTCATGAGTAGGCGGGAACGAGATAAATCAAAATGTCTTATATCAATTTGCGATATTTGCAATAATTTTCGAGTTATTAAATATTAAAGTTGTACAAATAAGAGCGCGCGAGGAGAAAGCGTTCGCTCGCCTAACCCGTAGGACGACTCAGCGACGACAATGGCCATCCGGCGCTCGGCGATGAAAGCGCGCGCGGAGAGAGGAAAGATAGTAGCCGCCGCTCATTCTTCCCATTCATCCTATTTTGCGAATATCGCAAAATAGTATAAGACATTTTCATTTATCTCGCTCCCATCTACCTTCTCACGAGCGATGACAGTGCTACGGGACACCCTGTATATTATAAACATTATTTAGTCCAATAAATTATTTATTTAATGATTCTATTTATATATTTCTATTTATATATTTCTCTTTTTTAGATAAAAACAATTTTGAGTGGCTTTATTATTCGTGGATATTTAGGTAAATGGACACTGATTATTAAATCAGTAGGTCTGATTCTTTCTGTATCGGCGGGTTTAAGCTTAGGAAAAGAAGGTCCCATGGTACACATTGCATGCTGTATAGGAAATATATTTTCTTATCTATTTCCAAAGTATGGTAGGAATGAAGCGAAGAAAAGAGAAATTTTGTCTGCCGCGGCCGCGGCAGGAGTTTCCGTTGCTTTCGGAGCCCCAATAGGCGGTGTTTTATTTAGCTTAGAAGAGGTAAAATATTTAGAAAATAATAATTTTATATTTTAAGAAACAATTTTAAGATTTTATCAAATTAAGTATTTTAGCAAAATATGTAGAGTAATAATATATCTATATCTTTAAATTATGTATATTTGTTTTAGGTCAGCTATTATTTTCCATTAAAAACTTTATGGCGATCGTTCTTTTGTGCTTTGATAGCTGCTTTCGTCCTACGTTCCATAAATCCATTTGGAAATGAACATTCAGTATTGTTTTATGTAGAATATAATAAACCTTGGATATTCTTTGAATTGATTCCTTTTGTTATGCTCGGCATAATTGGGGTATGTAACTTTTATTATTATGTATTAAATCTATCAAAAATACCTATATAAAAAGTGATTTGTTTCGGCAGGGAGTAATAGCAACATTATTCATCAAAGCAAATTTATTTTGGTGTCGATATCGTAAAACTTCCAAATTGGGACAATATCCCGTTACTGAAGTGTTAATTGTAACAGTAGTGACAGCAGTAATCGGATATCCTAATCCATATACAAGGATGAACACCAGTCAACTTATTTACTTATTGTTTAGTCAATGTGGGGTATCAAATGCGGATATGTTATGGTTAGTAAATATAAAAAGATTTTATATTAAAAGATTTATATAAAAGATTTTATATTAAAATATATTATGTTACTTTATTATGTTACTATAATATAATAGATGATGATTACCTATAATTAATTTTCTTAACGTAATATAATTAACATACACAAATTTTTTGTCCAACAGCGATTATAACAGAAATTTCACTGCTGTGAAATCTGCAATTGAGATTGCTGCAGCTGGCCCAGGAGTCTACAAAGCTATATGGTTACTCGTGTTGGCGCTTATATTAAAACTTATTATGACAATATTCACGTTTGGCATGAAAGTTCCTTGTGGCTTGTTTATTCCTTCCCTCTGTCTGGGAGCAATAATGGGTCGTATTGTAGGAATAGGAATGGAACAACTTGCTTATAATTATCCTCACATATGGATGTTCAGTGAAGAGTGTTCCATGGGTGTTGACTGTATAACACCTGGATTATATGCAATGGTTGGGGCTGCTGCTGTTCTCGGAGGCGTAACCAGAATGACCGTTTCTTTAGTTGTTATTATGTTTGAATTAACGGGCGGTGTACGGTATATTGTACCTTTAATGGCTGCAGCTATGGCGAGTAAATGGGTCGGCGATGCTCTTGGGAAACAAGGCATCTATGACGCTCATATTGGTTTAAATGGATATCCATTCCTGGATAGCAAGGATGAATTTCAACATACAACTTTGGCAGCAGATGTTATGCAACCCAAGTAATTAAAATAATTCATGTTGTATATCTATTTCAGTATATTTTAACAGATATTTATGCTTACATATTTTCAATTTTTACAGGCGAAACGAAGCTCTTCACGTTCTTACTCAAGATTCAATGACAGTTGAAGATGTAGAGAACTTGCTTAAAGAAACTGAACATAATGGTTTTCCTGTAATAGTTTCTAAGGAATCTCAATATCTTGTTGGTTTTGTTTTACGACGAGATCTCAATCTTGCTATTGCTAATGCTAAAAGGATGATTGAAGATATTAGCAGGCAGTCATTAGTTGTCTTTACTAATGGAAACAATATTCAGAACCATTCGCCACCACCCTTAAAATTAAAAAAAATATTAGATATGGCCCCGATCACCATTACAGACCAAACTCCCATGGAAACTGTAGTTGATATGTTCCGAAAACTGGGATTACGTCAAACTCTAGTTACACATAATGGGTACGTATACAAATCACTAGTTAATATAGTCTTTGAATTTAATTTAAATTAAAATTTCTTATATAGGCGACTACTAGGTGTAATTACAAAGAAAGACGTTCTGAGGCACGTGAAGCAGCTCGACAATGAGGATCCAAATTCTGTTTTATTTAATTAAACTTTGCTGCTGCGAATAGCCAATTTGAGATTATCAATTCGATTAGCATTAGCTTAAAAAGAATGAAAAACATATATACAGAGATAATTTATATGAATTTAATTAAAATGTATTTTATCTACTCTATCAATCTATCTGCACATTTATAAATTATTATAACACTATGTAACTAGGTAGAAGTAAACGTGCGATAGATTTAGATCATTAAATTTGTATATTTATCTATTTGAATGAAAGAAAAGCTTTTTCTTTTGAATATTTTATCATGTATCTGGTCAATCAGAATTATTTTTTTATTGTAATTAATAATAAGTCAGGTTGACAGTTTGTGATATAAATAATTTATTATATCTGCAGTTCTTTTTTGGAAATTATATAATAAATCATTTACATCATGAATGATCAATTTAATTCATTATTGAAAACAATGTGTGTGTGATCATTGTTACAATATATATAATTTTCTGAATGGCATTGTAATTGCATAAAATATATGTTATACAAAATATTTCTTATAACATTAAGATAATTATAAATATTATTTAATAATATATCTTATCACATCCTAAACATATTTTTAATCCCATATTAATTCCATGATTATGCATGATTAATTTCTTTTATTTTTTTATTATTTTCCTTAATATATCTTATTATATCTTTTTATAAATTAATTTTTTATTAATTTTAAATATTTACTTAAATTCATATTCTAGCTACTTATAAAACTGAATTATATTTCTTTAAATCAATGTATTTTGACTAAATACAAATCCATCTTAGAAAATATTTTAATGAAATAAATATGTAATCAAAGATCTATATATCATTGTATCATTTAAAAGTAATAAAATCACTGTTTCATATAAATTAAAAATTAATTATTAGGCCAATCATATATATATATATATATATATATATATATATATATATATATATATATATATATATATATATATATATATATATATATATATATATATATATATATATATATTTATTATATGTATAT